ATATATATATATATATATATACATACATTATATATACATTATATTTCTTTATATCACAACAGGAAGAATCAATGTATTGTTATTCATTGGTGGTGAAAATGAAATTTTTTGTAGCCAAACCTGGCGTAAAGTTGGTAGAAACCCAGATAATGTCCACTGGCAATGAGTTAGTGTAACCCATGATTATGTATCTTAATCTTTATACAGCGCCTCACTTATTATAATTGTGTACACTTTTCTTTCTTTTTTTCTACTAGTGGAACATTCTTTTGCAACAGTTATTTATTGGAAATATTTTTGTGTGTGAAATGCTGTATTCCCCCATTTGTTCCTAGTTATACTGCCAGGGATTAACAATATGAAACAATTCATGTTCTTGGTCAACCATTAAATTGTTTGTTTGTCTGCATCGCATTCAAACCACAATGTAGAATGCTGTCATATGCCTCGGCTTGTTGTCATGACATTATCATTTGTACTTGGTGTTTGCCATTGATGATAGATTCATGTATATAGTAATAAAACCAGTATAGATTATCAATTAGCATGCATAGAATGCAAGTAAACTTGATGAATTATGGGAAAGGGTGGTTTCTTTGTGCAAATTCACCATGAAATATGTATACTTAATAAAATAAAACATTTTCATAAAGTTTCAGAAATAAAAGTTTGTAATATTGCATTTGTTGTTTATTTGTCACTGTGGCTAAGATTATGATATGTTTTTCTTGCTACCCAAATGTACATGTATAATATAGTATAATACATGTATATGAAACTAAACTTGAAGATGGTCATGCATTCTACACAATTTTACCCCATGAGATGGTTTTTAGTCCCTGCAGTCTGAAAACGGGGACTTCTGTTTTGACCTCTGTCTGTCCGTCCGTCCGTCCGTGCATGCATGCGTTCGGACCTGTATCTTAGAAATGCCTGGACCAATCACAATCAAACTTCACACATACATCATACATGATATTGTACATATGCACATCAATTTGTTTCACGATCTGATTCAAGATAGCCAAATGGTGGCCATTTTTGTTCTAAAAATCATCAAAACTAAGTATTTCTCTGTTGTTTACAGATGGATTTTGTTCAAACTTGGTATATACGTTGGACATTATAGGACCTTGATGCACATTATTTTGTTTTCAGATAAAATTCAAAATGGCTGACTGGTGGCTATTTTGTTTTAATAAATGTGGTTCTAGTGCCATATCTGACTTGCTGTGACTGATTATGTTCAAATTTTAAATATTCATTATACATCATGTCATAGATATACAGATATATTGGTTTGATGATTCTATTAAAAATGGCCGAATGGTGGCCATTTTTGGCTAAAAAATCATCAAAATCAAGAATTTCTCTGCTGTTTACAGATAGATTTTGTTCAAACTTGGTACATGCATTAGACATTACTGGTTCCTGATGCACGTTATTTTATTTTTTAGATCGGATTCAGAATGGCTGACTAGTGGCCATTTTGTTTTAATGAATGGGCTTCTAGAGCCATATCTCTGACATGCTTTGATTGACTATGTTCAAATTTTATATATTCATTATACATGTTTTCAAAATGGCTGATTTTGTCTTAATTAATGCAGTTCCAGAGCAATATTTCTCAATACTCGTTTGACAACCAGATACAAATGTCAATCATTTAAATGTTAAACAATCATCAAAATCATATTCCTGACATGTTTATATTCCAGCTATATTACTGTAAACAAAACTATATATCTTAAATTCGACAACTAACTGGGACTGTGCCATGCATGGCTTGTTTATAATAACCTGTCCACAAAATATAACAGTTTCCCAAAATTTTTCATGAAAAAATCTACAATTTGACACGGAATAATTCAGCACATTCAAAAGTCTATGTACAGGTTGTATTTCTGTGCATCAGTAGTCTTCCTAGGCAGTCAATCAGTGAGATGCAAGGTTAGAATCTCCACTAATCTTTAGGGTTGACATCTGGGTATTTTCACCATCTAGCAACCATCACGGTGAAACTGCACTCTGGGATAGTTGCTGAGACTCCTGAACAATGTAACAAGATTACCCCTACATGTGCAACATGTAAGAAATTTTGTTGCTCCGGATTGCTTCAAAATAGAGTTTATGCTGTTTCTTCAACTTTTTTTCACCGTTCTTCGACAGGTAGCACAGAACTCACAAAAAACATAGCATGTTTTGTGACATATCTCTGCCCTTGTGACTAACAACATAATAGATTTGAGGGATATAATAGCCTTTACACAATGTGAAACTTATTTTCATTACATACGTTTTCTTTTGTGATTATAAATTGTTTTAAAAACAAGTACCGGTATATTACAAGTTAGGACCATCACTGTTTTTAGTTATTGTTTAACATTCAAATTTAGTAACTCCAATTTTAATTATCAGTTAATCAAACATTGAATTATGGGAAATACACAACGTTAAACAAAATCCATCTTGCCCGTAACTCGAAGTTCGGTCAACTGTTAATTAAAGTTTGCGTTACTAAATGTGAACAAAGACAAAAATATATGTTGCCCGTAACTCAAAGTTCTGTAAAACGCTAATTGAACATCAGGTTACAATTTGGCCGTGGTTTCTAAAATAAGGGCGTGGTCATGTTTGTAACTCTATGTTCATTACTCGAACAATTCAGCATCTCGGGGAAAATATACTTATTTTATTTCTAAGCTTCAGTTTAGTCTATTTTTTGTTTGTTTTTCTTGATCATTGATTTATTGTTTTTTTCATTCATACCTACATTTTGCATCAAATATATCTTTCCATAGACTTACAATGTGTATCTGTGGCTAGCTAGTACATGCAGAATTAATTTTAGTAATGTTGTATTCTCCTAGAACAGACTTGGAAGCAAGTTCAAACAAAGCAATTATTGAGATGTAATTCTAGATATGGGATATTATGGAATACTGCTTTATGATAAACTTTATCTTAGAAGTTATTTCAAAGATTCTTGCAAATATATCCGTGATTTGAGCTTTTTTCGCTGAAGAAAAATAATACTATATTTGTGGTTGATTTTGTACATTATTTGAAATTATTGCTGATCATGGTAGTGTGTTAAATTATTATTATGAAAATCTTTGATTCCTAATATATATTTCTTTATTGCAAAGAAAAGTATTCGCTCTAAAATATTCTGTTATGTAACACAATGTGTATGATGGCGCTGCACAAGTTGGGTGACAAGCATGTATGGCTGTGACCGGGGCTGTGATAAGATATGATATGGACTTCGAACTTGTTTGTCAATTGTACGACACCCATTTCTGTCATAACGTCTTATATCAGGGAAATAGAAGAGTGCATTTGGCGGTGCGCTTACTCAGTGTGCTGTCCCTTGGAACTACGGCATCACCGAGTTCTAATGATGAAATGTCACTGACCACTGTGTAAATCGTTTTAGAATCTACTGCAATCACAATTGTCCTGAACTGTGTGACCGCACATTGACATACACTGATTTGTTCTTCCTGATAACTTGGTGAGTGAAATAAGTTCTCGTTTTCACTAATTTGATACCCCCCCCCCCACCTCACCATCAACCTTACTAGTGTATATGTGTTTTACAAGTGTTTATAAAAGGTTTGAAATCTAGTGTTGTAGGCAGATATCGCTGTTCCGTCAATGGTATCATTTTGAGGATATAAATAGATGATTCCTATCTAGCACATTTGGCACAATGTCCGAATAGGAATATTCTAGATAGTATTATTACAGTATACTTTTGTTAAAGGGCGGTAGTCGTCGTGCTGCGTCCTGTTCGATGTGGGACTCATAGCGACGTATACAACGCGTATAAAATACATTGTTTATTTACATGACATTCGAACACGCGCTGCGAGACGACCACCGCGCTTTAAGTGTAATCATTATCATGCACCGAAACAGCTACAATGTAATAGTAAAATAAACGAAAGCCGGTATGTTGATTTATTGGACAATGGTGCATACAGTTATTATTATGGTAAACATTTCAATATTAATTATTGAAACCGTAGTCTAATCTAATACAATATGCCTTAGCTGGGTCATATGGAGAACCGACTTCTGGTAAACATGTAAAAACTACACAGAGGATCGGTATTTTCGTAAGCTGTAATCAATTGTTTTTATTTTCGTAATAAGGTAATTTAAATAAATAAAAAATGTAATCCGTAGACATGGGCAAGGTGTAAAATGTAATCAGCTATTGTATTTGTTCACAATTTGTACAAAGATACATGTATTATTTCTTGTAAGCGTATAAAGCATTTTCCAAATTAAATGTCTTAATTCGTACACAGTTTTCAATTTTGATTCTTAAACTCTAATTATCAAAAATATTATAAAAATGTAAAATGTAGTTAGGAATTTGCTTTATTTGTAAAGTGTAAAAACCTATTTTTTACTGTAAATAGAATTTTCTTTTCCTGCAAAAATGTAAAATGTCGTTTTTAATTCCTGTAACCTGTACCAGCTATCCCCCCTTGCCCCCTACACATTATTCAACTTTATGATGTCACATTATATGCTTGGTCAATGAAAATGCATGTTTTGATTAATTGTAAAACGATCAGTATTTGAAATGTTTATTATAATTTTCAATTTAATTTCTTTCAGTAGTTGATAACATTCCGCCATATCGTGGTGGCATTGGCAAAGGAGAGATTTTATCATGTAAAGGACATTGTTTACTATGGGTGTTTTCATGAGTGTGTATTAACCTCTCACCGTGACTGTAGTTAGATGACCTATATCACATCTGACCTATCAGCCCTTAGGTGTGTGATACTAACGATGCATCACGTTATCCACTGCAGGCAGTACTTAATACTTGACCTAACTGCTCGTTTCACAATTGAACACATGTTTGGTTCTCTTATGCTTCTCTGGCTGAATATTCAAATATACGGTTTTTAATGCACAACCAAAATTACAAAATAAATCCTGCAAAATAATAATCATAAAGGTTTGATGTGTTCTGCACTGTATATTGATATGAAATACTAGTTTACACTTTAGTGTTTTATAGTCAAGGCATGTGGTATACATGATATCCAGCATTGTATTAATTCAGTTTGGTATAAATAATGATAGCGATCAACTAGTTTTTAAATCAAGGTTGGTTCTAGATGCATTATTTATAAATATATTCCGGACTTAATTGGTGAAAATATTAAATCAGACATAGATATGACAACATACTTCAAGCATACATTTCCTACGATCGCAATGATATATGTATATTTCATTGAACTTAACTTGAACATTATATCACAGTCACGCGACTTGCCTACACACTGAAATCAACAAGTATATATTCGGAAATAGATGTCAATAGCCATCTACCTGTTCCAAAAATACTCAATGTGTATTTCACACACGCACACAGTTCACTCCCCTACATGCCTACTATGATAGGTTATCATTCAATGCAATAAAATACACGACAGCAAAGTAAATACTACTCCATATGACCTATGGAGAAAATTAAACAGTTCTTGGGCCCCCTGTCTGTTTTTTATCTGCATAATAACCACCTACTAAATGTCATTGATAAGACGCAAAATTGATTGTTAATTAATTCATTGTTAATGGCAATGTTATATGTCTGAGTCGCATTAATGACAATGAATCCAATTCCTAAGTCAATTGTTACGAAGAGAAAAAGTGTCTGCGAAAAAATAAATATTCGCCACAACTCTTCAAAAAATCGCAATTGAAATGGCACAGAAATAATTCCCTCATTATGAAATATTTGTTAAACATTGCCTTTTAATGTAGTGTACATTGACTGTTTACTTTCAAATTGATGTATTGTTGAAAGTTGGTGCAAAATTGTGCAGTAATAATTGACTAGTTTAGACATTCTTTCGCACACTGGAATAAACTTCATCATCACAATACTTAGTATGGGGTAATCTGATTTAAATAATAAATGGTATCCCTGCTTATTGTGGCCCTCACTGCTTTACTGCATACATGTACATTAACTGAATGTTTTCTGTAATTACTGTGTTATGCTAAGGTTACCATTATCCCTCGACTTGAGCTTAAGAACTCGCAGAAAATTGTGGGTGGGATATTTGTTGATATAAGAATACCCAGATTATTTTATATCGTATCCCTTTTATTGATGAATATTATTTGTTTCTTCAAGATGTCAATTTAACTGTTAGGATGGAAGTTTGCCTGATTGTAGCCAAATCCTTGGGTATTTCTTATATAAGTGCATTCTAATAACATTTTACTTTACTTTCGGCAATGCTGTCTCAGCAAATCTTAGTAATGCAATGGCATTATTGTTACAGTCGATACTAAAGTCGATAAGTTCTCTAAGGGATCGACTGAGTGCGACAAAAATCCGCACGTCACCAACGGAAGTACACGACCGAGGCTTTGAGAATAACGTAACCTAAGTTTCTGGAGTGAGATCGTCACAGTCAAATATTTAATTATATGAAAAACTGAATCAAACGTGCAATCGGATCAATCCGGTATGCATTACTCGTCGGATGACAGCTGGCTGCTATACTAACTGCAAATTATTAATCAAGGTTTGAGTAATTTCTTTTCTACTTGTTTTCAGGCCACCAACATGACTACATTTTTGGGTATTGATTTTGCTCCTTTTAAAGTGCCTTTACATCGACGTTTGGAGACACTGGCAGCATTGAAATTTGTGTTTAGTTTTGTTATAATGCATACTATGGCCACCTTGCTTGTCCTGTATGTGGTGTTTTATACATCATATTACTGGCTAGCTCTGATATATCTGTGCTGGCTTTGCTACGACTGGCATACCCCTTCTCGCGGTGGTCGCAGAGCAAAGTGGTATCGTACCTGGGTACTATGGAGATATTTCCGAGACTATTTCCCAGCCAAGTTGATAAAAACGCACGAACTGGATCCACAATATAACTATGTGATTGCTTATCATCCGCATGGTATCATGGGAATGGGCGCATTTATTCACTTTGGCACCGAAGCAACAGGGGTTAGTAAGTTATTTCCCGGAATCACGCCTTACTTAATGATCATGAAGATTTTGCTCAATTTGCCGATAGTACATGATTATTATATGCTCCCAGGTAAGAAAACGTCATGTTTGTTTATTTGATAAATGAGTACATATACTTATACCACGACACACATGTGTTATATCACTACACAACACCACGTTATATTTCAATGCATAGATACTGTGATGTAAGTTAGGATACACATGTAATATTGCACAAGACTATACTGTATTTCGATGTATAGGTACTGTAATGTAAGTAAGCCGGGATAAACACAGATATAATAATGCACAACACTATATTTATATTTCACACTATAGGTTGCTGTGATGTAAGTCGGGATAGTATTGAATACATACTTGAAAATAGCGAAAGGGGCAATGCATGTGTTATATTGGTGGGTGGCGCTAAGGAATCTTTAGAATCTAAACCGGGCACTTGTCTTGTATTATTGAAGAATAGAATGGGGTTCTGTCGAATGGCTTTAAAGCATGGGTAGGTTATGCCATGTGTACTGTTAATGTTTGCATCTATGCTGCATCGATATACTAGTGTGTACATGCATCCCATCCGCACCATACTATACGAGTTACGCCAAGCTATACAATGTAGCTATTTCATTAGACTGTCGACAGTCGGTCGTACCTAATATTAAATTATTATATTATTATTAAATATTGTGTATAAACGTAATAGGTGTGAATAGATTGCGAATGACTGCTGAATGTCCAGGATACACAGTTACATTAGGCCCGAGGACTATCCACAGTCTACTATTCCATGTGTGCTAGGTTGTACATTTTGTTAACCTCGTATTGGCCAAGTTAATCCACCTCAACTGTATCAAAATCATTCTCTAATTTCTCTCATGTTGTACTGCATGCAAAAGTTGAGAAATGTCCAGACTTTCACTGAGGTGTTCTACAGTGCAGGTTCAATATAAGATACCATATATATATATATATATAAACTGTTCCAACTGGAAATGTTTGAACACATTGATTTATAAAGTCGTTATCAGTTCGTGTTTGTAATGTCAAATTGGTAATATTTGTTTGATTCTTTTCTATCTACGTTACTCAGTATAATTAATTCCACTGCGTTCTTACAGTGCTCATTTGGTTCCTGTTTACTCGTTTGGGGAGTCTGATCTCTATACTCAAGTCGATAATCCTGAGGGGTCAAAGGTCAGATGTGTTCAGAATTTCATGCAAAAGTTGATGGGATTTGCTATCCCTTTCTTTCATGGTAGAGGAATATTTAATTACAATTTTGGACTATTGCCTCATAGACATCCAATCAACACTGTGGGTAAGTACAAATGTGCCAATAATTATTCATATATTATAATGTGGGTGGGACCAATGATCGAACTACACGTATACAGTTATGTACTGGCTAAATCATGGTCATCACGTGATCGTTACTGCATATAATTCTCGGGCGTAAAGTGCAATTAATTTGTATCACGGCTATGGCGAATTGGTGAGTTTTGGCCAATCAAATTGTTGTTATGATTACACTTGATTAATATCCAATTTGTCGCATATTTGGAGTGTTCGAAGCCCAGGTCATGGCATATAACAGGGAAATTATAGAATGCTCATTGGCCAATTCTAGACAGTAGTGATACAAGTAATGTGTGGCATAAGGCTGCACGCAGTATGCATTTTTTTTGTGTATAAAATAAATTTGCCGACAACGTCAACTACACAGTGTGTGTTATAACCAGAACAAGACAACTATTAAAGGTCAATATATCTGAATATTCAAGGGAGGAATATTACCTATTGTGCTTAGCATGACATGCAATATAAATGTATGACGTCAAGGTTCATCTCCAAAAATGCTTCACAAACACAGTATATATATAATATGTGTAACTTTCGCGATTGTCACAAATACTGACGTAGTACATTTAATTTGCTTACACGCAGTTGGAGCTCCCATTCCCGTGAAGAAGATTGCCGAACCAACGCGGGACGACTTGCGCAATTTACATCAGATATACTGTGAGAAATTAAAGGCTCTCTTCGAGGAACACAAAGTTAATTATGAAGGCTATAAAGACAAGGAACTTATCTACATATGATTGTTACATAACGCACACTGCACGTTACAAATGTTGATGTATATGGGAGCGCAACATCTCCCAGCCATTCAGATCGACAACTTGTGTTTGCAAATAGATTTAATCCATTAATAAACTTCATTTACGGAACTATTCAACAGTGTCCGGAATATGTGATGTCACATGGAACCACGATTAAAGATAGACGCTACTCATAACACATTGTTTAAATATGTGATGTCATCATATGAAGCTTGGCAGCAGGCAGAGCACTTATTTTCAAACACAATATTTAGCGTATCTATAAGCAAAGGGATATATTCATAGACATTTAAAGAGAAAAATTGAGGTAAATTTGATTATCTACTCGAAAATTTTACAAAGCTTCATGGGTAAAATCCAAGGTAGACTAAAGTGCTGGTTTGTTTGATTACAAGCTAGATGCCTACTGCATTAAGGCCAAAAGTTAAAGCGGAAGGGTCGACACCTGCGCACGCGCGGGAATTGAGTCCCAAGCGACGCTAACAACACACGCTAAAAACGCACAGGTTCATGGGTAGGCGCTTGTTTGTAAACAATGACACGCTATGGCCAACAGACGCATGCGCAGGTGACGACTCCCCCGCTTTAACAAGCTGAAGGTCTAACACCTCTCCACCTTTTTTTATTCAGCGTAAACAAGTCACAAATTACTCTCTGCATTGTTACATTTTAACAATTTGTATTGGTACCTTAAAATTCGATGAGTAAATAGAAGAAAAGTGAATGTTGGATGGAGACGATAATGTTTTCGGAAAAACATGTACCGAAAATGATTGACAGCAGAGACCCAAATATTTCCCAGCATGCCTTGCAGATTATACATTTACTGTTTTTTGTGGAGAAACAATCATTTCTATGCATTTTGTTTTACATGGGTGCTCATGAATATAATCCCCACATAATACAGATATTGATGTGAGCATAGGTTGTACAAGTAAGACATTTCAAGAGTTGTTTCCTGGTTGTTGGTTAGGAGGGGACTGCGTAACTAGTGGCTACAGTATTTACCAGTATCCCCCGGTTACAGCAGTACAATATTAAGTAGGTATGTCTTATGAAACAGTAATAAAATGACTTTGATAACTTTTATAATTTTGGATTTATTATCTCCAGTGCCAGTTATTATCACGTGAAAAATCGCACAGCTATGTAATTTATGAACATGTCGCTCACAGCATCACAATTACAATGTCCTTATGGTAAAATCACAGACAATTTGTCGGGTTTTATTGTGCCGTATTATTATTATATGCTGGCCGATTAAGTCAACGACTTGTACACGTGTTCCAAATTCGTGAAAACAAATGACTACAACTTTTTTCAGGGTTTTGTTGTGATTCAAAATAAGCATTTAGCTGTCATGAATTGATGTGACAGATTTATAGATCGTAAATACTGGATGACTGGTTTCGAACTAGAATGTCGATTGTGTGACAAAATGACGTACTTTGACAAATATTAATGACACTTAAGCCTAACTAATCAATCATTTGAATCGATAAATATATTAACTAATTAATCCAAGTCCGAAAATGGATTGCCCGTCCGCACCTTCGTCCAACTGTCTTGCCAGGACTGACTACATTATACGTCTTACGTAAATGCACATGCATTCGCTTCGCTATCAAAATGGCCAATGACGGTAATTTTGGCGCTAAAAAATCGTCAAAACAAAGTATTTCTCCTATTCCTGAACCAGGTCTGAATCATGTATAGACGGATTTCGCTCAAACGTAGTACAAACATTGAGCATGGATATAAGCTGGTGGCCCTTTGAAACTTTGCACATACATGATAATCATATCACACGTATGCAAATGTATTCAAAAAGGGCTGACTAGTTGCTGTAAAAATTGGTTCAAATGTGGTTCTTAATCCTGCTACAAATGTATTTGAAAAGGGCTGACTAGTATCTATATTTCAAGCGTTTGTTAGATGGAATTGGTTCAAATGTGGTTCTTAATCCTGCTACAAATGTATTTGAAAAGTGCTGACAAGTATCTATATTTCAAGCGTTTGTTAGATGGAATTGGTTCAAATGTGGTTCTTAATCCTGCTACAAATGTATTTGAAAAGGGCTGACTAGTATCTATATTTCAAGCG